TCTTCATCAATTGAAGATTTTGTTGAAGTATTAATTTCAATATTATTTTTAAAAACAATTAAAACTTCATGTAATAACAAATCCTGAAGGTATTTTTTTTCTTTTTCACCATCAATTCAACGATTTTTAAAATAGGAATGAGAAATAGTTGCCAAAAATGCACTTTTAAAATTGTTATCAAAATCATATATATTTTTAAATCTTTTATTTAAATAATTTTCTATGGCAATAGCTAATGGTTTGCAAAATTGTAGAATGGTTTGAATTAAATTTGTAATTTTTTTTAACGACATTTAAAATTGGAGCTGATTCTCCATAATAGCAGTTTATTTCACTCTGTATTTTGTCAATCGCTATAGCTAATGGGGCCACTATATTGCAATATTCTTCTAAATATTGAATTTCAATATCTCTTAATTTAGGAAATTCTAGTTTTTGACGTAATTTAGGAAGTTCGCCTTTAAATTTTTATAAACTATGAAGACTATCATACAAACTAATACATCTAGGGCAACAAGGTGTAACTAATTGTTTTCAACTGCTTTGATAAATTCTGCAGTTTAGGCCTATTATTTGCATTCCATAGCTTAGGACATTTAGCTATTGCAGGATGATGAATTTTAGAAATGTTAGGAGAATCCTTAATAGCTTTCTCGACATCTGTTGTGGCAATTAGACTTATCGTATGGCACAAACAACGAATGTGTTGAGGCAATGTTATTGAGGCTTCTTTAGACCCTTAAATAAACAAATAAATAATTTTATTTGAATAAAAATTTTTACTAAATTTACAATATCATAATAAATTTTAAAGAAGTATTAAATAATACTTTCAATGATTTCGAATTCTATACATTCATCATCATTGATGTCAAAGTCATTAGCTTCCATAGAATATCCAAACTCCTTGAAAGCTTTCTTAAAGTTAGAGCCGTTATCTGTAACAGTTGTTATAACTTTTTCGTCAATACCAAAGTCACGATAAATTTCTTTATTATGATCATCTTGAAGTACTTCAAAAAATTTGCCATTAAGTATGCTTAGTTTAAATTTATTGTTATAATTTTCGGTTGAAGAATCATCTGAAGACGAAGATAAATATATTATTCTATTTTCTTCCATAAAATAGAGAGATATAAAACGATTCAAATATGGTAGTTCTAATTGTTAGCAAATTGCTATATGACGACTAACGTCATATATCAAAAATTATCTTAAAATATCTAAATTTTGATTATATTTTTCATTTAAATCTTAAAACAATATCATTTAAAATTTTAATACTATTTAAATTAACCAATATAAATTTTTTTTAAAGTATCTGTATCTTTTTGAATACAAAGTTGGTTAAGATACAAATACTTTTAAATAATATGTATCTTAGATACTGGATACAAGATACTTTCCAAAATTTTTAAAAAGATACAAGATACAAAAGTATATTGTATCTTGTATCTTAGATACAAATATCCGCGATACTGCCCAACCCTGATAATATTTAATATTAATTTGGTTGATTTATTTTCAGTCTAAAATTATAATATATATTTAATAAATAATTAAAATATTAAATGTGCCATTTTGTCGTTATCCATTGCGTAAAATTATTTTTTTTTACTTTGTTTATGTAATAAAATAAACTTGGAAATATTAAACAATTTAATTCAAATGTTATTATTTTTAATATTTAAAAAAAAGTAAAGTAAAATTATATATAAATTTATCTAAAAATAGATACAGATATTACCTCCAAAATAACATCCAGATAATTGTATTTAGATACTTTAGCAACTATGCTCGTTACTCAAATTATAAATTGATATTAATTTTTCTAGCTTTTTTTTATAAATTTTAATTTAATTTATATAAATTTATCCATCTGTTTTATCAAATTAAATGATATTTTATATGATTATAAGACCTAAAAGTTTCAAGCACTATTTATTTTTAATATATATACATGCTCTTATCAATTATTTTATCTAGTTCTTAGTCACGCCAAAAGCACCGAAAATAATTTATTGCAATTTTATTCTAATAATTGGTCATTATCACTGTTGTAAATTTTTTATGTCAATCAGGATGATTTCTTATTTTATATATATTTTAACAAGAAAAATGTAACAAAATTATAGAATTCATCATAAATCTAAAATTCTAAAAATTTACCATAATTTTTATTTTAAAAATGGAGGCCATTCTTATGCTTGGAATTACGGATGGTATTTAATGCCTTTTGTCTAAAATCTTTTCAAAAGAATAAGAGAAATTATTACAACTCTAAAATAAAAAAAAATGCATAGATTGAATTAGGGTGCGAGGCAGATTAAATAAAATGCCCAAGTACAATAGATCTAACATTAGATATTTTGTATATTGAAAGCATTGTTCTATACCTAAATACCCGACTCAAATTGGCCATATCAATGATGATAATAACAATAATGCCACACATATGAAAACGTTAAAATTAAATGTCCTAAGCATGTTATAGTATATTAATTATGCTTGAGGGTTTTATAGTCCTCAACTTATTGTATCTTAAATAGTTAATTTTTGATTCATACTAAACAACTTAAACTCAGCCTAACTCAAATTTATAGTAAATGTTTTTGTTTATCATGGAAAAACTTTTTACTTTATAATTTTACATAAATTATAAAAGAATGTTTACCACTAAATATCGCTTGAAATATATAATTTATACAATCTTAAAATGAATTAACAAAAAAAATTGAAAAAAAATATTAGAAAATTTCTAAAGTATATAAAAATCACAGAATGAATAATTAATAAAAAAAATAAGTTCTCAAAAATATAATTATTCTTATTTTTATTTATCATAATGTTTTGTTTTTATATTATACCAATCAACTAGTGTTGTTAAACGGCTCGTTTTGAGCCCTTTTTTAAAAATCCAGAAAAATATTATGTGCAAGCATGAAAATTTTGCTCATAGAAGGAGCAAAGGTCTAGACATATAGTTTCGAAATTTCGAGGCTTAGTCAATATTTTTCTGGCGAAAATACTGAGTTAGCCGTTTTTAAAAATCGGCTCAAAACGAGCCGTTTAACAACATTACAATCAACAATAAACATAATTGTTGATTGGCGTTTAAATATAAAAATATTTATCTTTTATAATTTAAACTTAACAATAAATTAAACATTAATTAGGAACAAATTAATCAAAAACTAGAACAGAAGGCATATCTGGTAAAATTAATTTTATTTTATAATGTTTTGAAAAGAATTAGGAAACACTATCTCAAACTATGAATCATATCTAGTAGAAGAATTATTATCTTTTCTTTTAAAATTTAAAGAAACTGTTGAAATCATATCTGCTCAAAGCCTTAGACTTTATTATTTTACGAAGTAAAATGGAAACAAATTTATGGTAAATGACTATGTTAACTTCGAAATCATTTCTTCCATAAAGGCAAAGCTATAAAAACTTTTCCAGGTTGTTTTCTGCAGGTAAAAGTATGTTCATTTATTTATTTAACTAATTTTTTATTTCAAATATTATCTATGTGTCAGCATATCCTATAGACTCAAGATTTCAAAAATTGAAATTGGGTCAATGTAAATAATAGAACAAAATTGCCCAGCTTCGGAGATTATTATAAATTATCTTAAACGTACAGAGTATTATTTTTAGCGATTGAGAATCGGGAGGAAATGTTATATTCAAATTATTTGACAAAATTAGCAGGCTAAACATTCAACAAGTACAAATTATGATTCCACTTCAAGATTTGGAACAAGAATGCATATTTTTCCCTGGGAAACGTCATTAACAAGATATGGAGGAGAAAAACTTTATACAGTTATTAGCATACTTATTGATAGGGTTTTATCTAGCGATGGGTTGATGTTTAATTTAAGGAGATCATCATCATATCTGGGAAATTTAAGTTAATTTATTTATTTAAAGGATAATTATAAAATTACGAAATCGATTTTTAATTTATTAGTTTTCACTTCAATAAAGATCCAAAAATATTCAGAGATATCTGTAATGCAATATTTTAATTTAATTAATTATCAATTAAAATAAACGAAAAAATTTATAAAGGCGCTCCAATATACGCTGCCTATATTGATGGCAGCTAAAAATCGGCGCGCTTCCGGCCACCGATTAGATTCTTAAAACTCACGTTGGCCGTTAGATTTTTGAAACTCGCGCCTGCCGCCCATTGTTAATTCGGCACACATGTCTTTTATATATTTTTTTAAGAAATTTAATAGGTTTATTTCAATTGCAAACGCCTTTATAATTTTACCGAAACCACAATAGAACGAGATTTTAATTATAGGCAACCACACCTTAATTTTTCACTTTTACCCACAAATAATAACTTAACAGAATCCTTTATAGAAAACGACTTGGATTAGAGATCTACAAAACACGGTCAGTCTGAAAACAGCCAGCTGACTTGGCTGGGAAAATTAATAAAAATATTGAAACGGGCAGGCACGAAATACTTTCCAAAAAATTACAATGGATCTAGAAAATGATATAATTGTCCAAATTCGTATATCTACATGCCATTCATCAAATTCGACAAAAAAATGATTGTTGAATAATAGAATAAATTGATTGGAATGGTATTCAATGAGTAGTTGTGTTATAAAAAGAAAGATCTACGAAAGGATTAATTAGATAAAATTATCCAACTTATGCTGAATAGAGTAGCATTAGGGACTTGTTAACAGTTAATTAACTATTCCTGTCAGATTAATTAATGGTATCAGGAAATAATTTTTTGTATTATTTGAACAAATCAATCCTCACCTTAATTTCATTATAATTGTGACTGTTAGAGAATAGTGAATTTTTTTAGGTTATATAGTTATAATAGATTGGAAATATTTCTTAATGGTAATTTTAATATCAGACAGAAATTGTTTGTAATAGAGGTCGTTTTTTTTATATACCCTATAAATCAAAGCCAAATGGGTACTTTTTAGCAGATTATCATTCATTCATGGCGGTCAAACCAATTCAAACATTAAAAAATTTATCAAAACGATTTATAAATATATCTTCATTATCCGATTATATAACAAAACTGCCACATAGGCCAAAACCTGTATTAGCAGATTTTTATACCTCTAATAAAGAAAGTTTTGCTTCGATAGTACAGGGTAATTAATACTTCAATATTTAAATAATTTAGTAAGGTTTGAATGGTAAGCAAACGCTTCTCAAGGTAATAGAATTGTATAAAAATTTACCCGAAGATGAAAAAGAGGTAATAAATTTTATTTGTATTAGTGATAAAAAGTACCCTAGCAATTGCGTAAACGTCATTATGATGCATATCAAATTTACCAAAAAGATTTAAATGAAATTATGATGGGTATACCACCAGAAACACAGACAAAGTTAATTTTAGATGGTTTTATTAAAAATCCTGATAAGGTAGTAAATTGATCCAATACTAGCATTATATTTTATTAGTTATTTAACATGAATATTCCAAAAATACCACAATCTGCATATTCTTATTTCACCCAAAAACACTTAAAGTTGGAATTCAATAAGTCTAAAAAACTACCAGGAGTAAATTATTGTAATAATATTTTGTAATTAATGCTTTTAGAAAGAAATTTTGAAAGAAGCTGCTCAAAAATGGAGAAATTTAACAAAAGAAGAAAAATTAGTATTAACATAATTTGTTGTATTATTTTTTAATGGTTTAATAGAAGTGTGTTGAAGAATGGAAAACACTGAAAGAAGAATATGTTAAAAATATGGAAAATTGGAAATCTAATATGCAAAATAATGGGTATTTTTAAGATTTATACTTATTATATATTATCACTCTTTTAAAAATTATTTATGCATATAATGAAATTTGAACATGATAAATACATTGTAGCATCTTTTATTAAAAAATTGTTAGAGCAGTCTTGTTCAAAAGGGCATTGGGTCACCAAAATCAGACTATTTGATTATTTACTTAAAATTAATTTGGTTATATATTTTTTTTGTTTATCTTGGTTGATACTTTTTTATTGCTGATTTAGATTAGGCATAGGTAAGTTTGGGGGTTTAAAGGGCTGGTTAATTTATTCTTACTCTGGATGCTCAAAGTTTTATCTTGACCTTGTTTTAAAATAAAAAATTTTATTAGATCAAATATTGAATCTATTACTAGAACTCGATCCTAGATTACAACCAAGGATTAGCTCTGAAAAATTTAAAGATCATTTTATAAAAATAACAATTATGATCAAGAATCACTATTAATGAATGATCCCTTTAAAAATTTAATTTTAACCTCCACCAAAGACCAGAAATAATGCAATTAACACTGGCCAGCTTACTTTCATTTTGTATTAATATAATTCTGTCTTATTTCTAATATAATGCTTCATTATTAAAGTACACATATATATCTTTCGAGACACCTCTTCACTTCATCAGAAGTATTAATTATCCATAATACCTTCAAGGGATTATTTTAATATAGTGCTTTTGGAATTTTATAAACAGTTTCTGACAATTGTGGTAAATATTATCTCAATTTTAACACTCCTTATCTTATCCAGGGGGTGAGGGGTTATTTTTTGTATATTAAATGGTTTATTTGGTGCATTAAAAATTTATTAGAACTACTCATCATATAAAATTTATTAGATGAACACAAATAATAAAATATTGGAAACTTCAAAATATTAACACCGAATATAATATGGTTAAAAAATATTATAGCTATATAAACCTATATGTAAGTCACAATAAAAGATAAAATTAAACATTTTATAAAGTTCAGTCAGCATTGCCAGACTCAAAAACCATTTTCTAATTAGGCCCAAATTTGAACTGGGTATACAGCTCTTATTAAATCATGGATTATTTATCTAATCGAAAACAATTTCTTATTTTCTTATTCTTTTACTCAAAACCATTTATGATTCATTATTAAAGTTTAAAAATACTTAGAGACCAACAATCTAGGTTTTTACCTTTCTTTTTTTCATAATATTTTTTTTTAGCTCATCAATTTTTAATTGTGCGAAAACCTTTCATCTCCCAAATTTTTTGCTACATTTCTTTATTTTGTCTGAACTTTTTTTTAACTAGTAAAAGCTATTAACTAGCTACTTTTATATTTTCATCACAAAAAAGGAATCAATATTATTTAATCGTATTTATTTTAAATTGATAATTTTATCATATAAATAAAATAAGATACCCTGAACAATTAATTAACTTGCTATCTTCCAGAAGAGGCTTATATGCTTTGCTAAAATCCCGCAAATTGCAAGACACAAACAAATCTAAAGATCCAATTAACGATATAGAAAAGAAAATTGAAAATATGGAAATTGATAAAATTTCCCCTTTACACACAGATAAACCTAGGAAGAAATCAAAAATTGAAAAATAAAATTAATTGAATTAACAAATTATATATATATATTATACACACTAATCACGTTTCTAATAAAAGTTATGGTTTAATTTTTGAAAGATATAATATTCAATAATAAAAACCCATAAAATTTATTTATAATATCCATATAACTAAAGAACATTTTTTTATAACTGGATATCAATTTTTTACTGATAACGATATACTTTGTTAATTTATATATTGTTTACTATTGTCAATCACAGTAATAAATCACAAAATATATCATTATAAATAAATAATATTGAATTCAATTCGTTTTTGAAAGAATGTACAAATATCATCAAATGAATTTTAATACTAAAATCGGAGCAAATATACTTTATCACAATCAATTAGATGAAATATTATTAAACACTTAAAATTTACATAATATTAAAATCCGTGTAAAAAAAAATTTAAAAAAACAATATTATTAAGTTTCGATTTCTAAAGCTAGGCCCATTTGATGTCCACCTTGATTCAAATTTTTACCATCTATCAAAGAAGATAACGTTAATGCAACACCTTTTTGATATTTAATTCATAAATATAAATTAATAAAATTATTTTGCTACTCACATTGTTAAAAAAACTATTATTAGTTCTCCATTTTTATAAAAACGGGATATTCAAAATTAACGATTGATCCCATACATTACCATTATAAAATATATTTTTTATAATGCGAAAAATTTAAAATTATATATTTTTAAAATAGCGAATCACAACCTGCACTATGATCATAGATAAACTGCGGTCTTTTTATAAAAAGACTGAGTGAACCATTAGGAATTAAAATACTTTATAATCACATATTTAAATTTGACTGAGGAATTAATTTTTAAATACTCCACTTTTATTCCTTGCATATAATAGTTTGAATCACATTCAATGATAATCTTTTTAAAAAATAATATCACCAGCCTTTGAAATTAGCTGTTCACTAGAGAACACATATTTACTGATTTATTAAATAATATCTAGCCAGTGGTGATAAACACGGAAACCTATTTTAAAATATGAAAAGCCAACATTTTTTTAACTTTCACTTTTTGCAGGGACCTAAATATAAAAATATTCTGGTTCGGCTCAAGAGAAAATAACTTAGATTGTTTAGAATTAAATAGACTAGGGTTCTTTAGACTGCCTAATATTTAAAAGGGTTCCAATTCAGTTTTAAAAAAGATAAATGTTTTAGCTACTTTTAAAATTTTTGCAATATTTATGTAAAAAGAATTTTATTGAGAAAATATATAATACACCAAAAAAGTTGGAAAAAAATTATAAGTAATGTCTTCCAAACGTCAGCAATTTATTGATACGCTGTGAGGATAGATTATTTTTTAACTCTGTGAATGCTTTTTCACTAGAGACTTCAGTTGGAGAGACTGCTAGCAATGTTGCTGATTTCGCCCAGGATATTCATATTTTTCTCGCCTCACTGTAGGCCATCAAGAAAGCATTTTTCGTTTTGCAATCCTATATAGGATCAAGAATCTACCATTCTGCTATTAATTTTAAGCCCAAGTCACATCAAAAATATTTATATTAATTATATTTTTTATAAAATTTAGATGTCAAGAGGAAATTAAAATAAAATTAGAAAAAGAAATATCAATATAAGATTAAAATCCGCCTGTTTTCCAATGATTAAAGAGCAAAAAATTAATCACTAACTAGCAAAATATGAAGAATGAGTGTATGATATATTAAATGAATATTATTTTATTAGAAAATTTTAAACATTGCAAAAATAAATAAATGTTAATCGATATTAATTCCGCCGCAAAATATAAAAAGTTATATTAAATAAGGTATTAAATTACAATATATATAATAAAATGGTTTTACTGAGTAAATAATACTAAAAATATGATTTGGGACCTCTTGTAATTTGGGTAAATTTTATAAACAAACTAAGGCGGTTTGGCCAAACTACAAATGCTAAGGTAAACTACAAATGCTAAAGTAAACTGCAAATGCTTAGGTAAAATTTTTGTTATATTCTCTCTTAATTGGAGGGAGGTTCATTTTCTTATTCTATAAATAACTTATAAAAAAATATATTCTTAGATACATTCAATAATAAATGAATAGGGGCCATTCCATGTCAAATCGATCAAAAAAGGCCCATTTTCGACCGACCCCTTTTAAAATTGTTAAAAATTTCTGAAGGGGAAATAAAAGAGAAAGCCGTTTATTTTAGCTAGCTAGCACACCTGGTTCTTGAGATATAGGGGCTTATAGGTACAAAAAAGAGCCAATTTGGAATCTGTAAAATTTTTAAAATGCTTATATCTCAAGAACTATTTATAGTAAAAAATAATAAAATATATCATATTGTAGGTAAAAAAAATCTCTAAAGGACTATCAAAATAAAATAAAAATTGGAGCCAATTTGAGTCTTTAACTTCCGGTTTACCTATAATGCTTTACCTCTATTTTTAAGCAAAAAAGGGAGTTTGTTTTCGAAATTTTTTTATTGCTTTTTATTTAGACACCTTTTATAAATATATGTATGATGTCAAAACCTTGGCGACGCTAGCGACTCTTCCAAAATATACATTTTTATCAAAAATCGTAAAAAAAATAGATGGCGCTAATGTTTAAAAAAAATATTATTTCTAAAAATGAAAATATTTATAAGTTTATAAGAAATGCGATAAAATTTTCCAGTTCTGCTCCCCTCCCCCACCATCCTTAAATTTTTTTACAATCTCTGCTTTAGTACTATAATAGCGAATGACTTTTTGGCACGATAATGTATAACAGCTGCATTAAAAAAGAATTTATATTAGACATATTATCGATTATATTTTACGATAATAATATTTTAAAAAATTAAAAGTTTAAAACAATCTCTCTTTCTGTTTAATATAATTTTTTTTCCGATCAGATTAGTTTTAAACAAGCCATATTCTAGGTTCAAATTAAATAAAATTTTATTCTATATAAAAGATGGATATACCAAATATTAAAATATCAAGATGTTGTAACCCATATAATTTACAAAAACATGCATATTATCGCAAGAATCTAAGAAAGATTCAACCTTGGATGACCAAAAAAAATTTACCAATCAATTTAAATATGCTAATATGCTCTTCATGCCGACAAAAAGTAGCAAAGCTTCCTTATAATGACAATGATATTGATTCTCCTCCTCATATAGTTAATCAAGAGGCAATTGAAAACATTAATATATCCCTACATTCAATTGGGGAATCTCCCATTAAAATAAAACGCTTACGTGAAAAGAAATTTCCAAAGAAAAAAATATCTAGCATGAAAAAAGTTTTAGCGACTAAAATTATACCATTATCTTCATCAAATGATGAAAAATTCGATGAAATTCTCGATACCTTAAAAATCAATTTCCCACAGCTTTCGATAATAAACAAATATAGATTATTAACATTATTACCATCAAATTGGACAGTATGAAGAATTATAGAAGAATTCAATATTTCATATCATATGGCGATAAAATCTAAAGGTTTAATAAAAGAAAAGGGGTTTTTTCAACACCTAATCCTAAACCCGGCATAACAATAGATGCCGCCACCGTTGATATTGTCAAATCTTTTTATAACAATGATCAATAAAGTAGATCGATGCCTGGGAAAAGGGATTTTGTAACCATAATAAAGAACAGTGAAAAGATTCAAGTCCAAAAAAGATTAATTTTAATAAATTTACGAGAGCTATATCTTAAATTTAAAGATATTCATTCAAATATTAAAATTGGATTCTCTAAATTTTGTGATCTTCGTCCCGAGAATTGTGTATTTGTTGGCAGTAGTGGTACCCATTGAATATGTGTTTGCTCCATTCATCAAAACACAAAATTAATGCTGTTGAGTTTGCCCAAAATTACTTTAAATGAAGATTTAATTAAGATTGCATATAAGGATATATTACCAAAAATAATTTGTAATCCAGCATTACCAAAATGTTTTTTTGGTGATTGTGCTCAATGCCCTGGATCTTCTAATTTAAAGGTCATGATAAATGAAATATTATATTCAATTATCGAATATATTACCTACAAGCAATGGGTAACAACAGATCGTACAGATCTTTTAACTATCACTTCATCAACCTTTAATTTTTTAGAAACGCTTTTCGAAAAGCTAAATATTTTACTATTACACTCATTCATAACAAAGCAGCAAACAATATTCATGAATTCTCTTAAAATTAATTTAAAGGAAGGAGAATATATCGTGCAGGCAGATTTTGCTGAAAATTATGCCTTTGTGGTTCAAGATGAAGTACAGGGGTTTCACTGGAATAAATCTCAAGTTACCATTCATCCTTTTGTCATTTATTACAAGTCACTTAATAATTTAAATCATTTAAGTTTCGTAATATTATCTGAATCTCTCGTTCATAATACAATTGCGGTTCATATATTCCAAAAATATTTAGTTCAATACTTAACAAAGAAATTTCAATGCCTGCCAAAAAAATTCTTCTATTTTTCAGATGCAGCAGCTCAATATAAAAATCGGAAAAATTTAATCAATCTTTGCCACCATGAATATGATTTCAAGATAAAAGCTGAGTGGCATTTCTGGGCTACATCTCATGGCAAATCAGCTTGTGACGGGGTCGGAGGTACCGTCAAGCGTTTAGTGGCTAGAGCAAGTTTACAAAGACCTACTTCAGAACAAATAACTTCTCCTAAAGAGTTTTTTGCCTATTGTAAGGAAAATATAAAAGGTATATGATTTATAATTTATTAATATATATATTATAATTTTTTTATTAAGGAATAGAGTTCTCCTATATTATGGAAGATGAATATGAGAAAGAACAAATAATTTTAAAAGAGAGATTCGACAAAGCCCGTACTATACCAGGGACGCAAAAATTTCATGCTTTTTATCCAATTTCTCAGGATAAAATTGAAACAAAATTTTATTCTAATTCAACAGAATCGCAAATATTAAATATAACATTTCACAAATTTTAAATTATGGAATGAATATAATTGTCTATCTCTATTTCTATATTTCTATACTATTAATATGAATGAATAATAAAAAAATTATACGAAAGATTTTATTATTGGAAATATATTACATTATTAAGTGTCTAAAGGGCATTTACCCACACTGCCCCTCAATTTATTTAGTATATTTAATAGAAATTTAAAATATTTTTAGTATAAAAAGTGAAAATATCCGTTTATTGATAAATTTGCAGCAAAATTTTAACCAAAATCCGTAATTTTATAAAGCGCCATCTATTATTTTTTTAAATTTTTGGAGTCGATAGCGTCGCCAAAGTTTTGATATCGTATATATTTATAAAAGGTGTCTAAATAAGAAGCAATAAAAAATTTCGAAAACAAACTCCCTTTTTTGCTTAAAAATACAGGTAAAGCATTATAGATAAACCGGAAGTTACGCCAATTTTTATTATTTTTTGATAGCCTTTTAGAGATTTTTTTACCTACAATATGATATATTATATATCTTTTTACTATAAATAGTTCTTGAGATATAAGCTTTTTAAAAATTTTACAGATTCCAAAGTGGCTCTTTTTTGTACCTATGAGCCCCTATATCTCGAGAACCATGTGTGCTAGAGAGCTAAAATAAACGGCTTTCTCATTTATTTACCCTTCTAAATAATTCCAGAAATTTTTAACAATTTTAAAAGGGGTCGGTCGAATCGTGATCGATTTGACGTGGAATGGCCCATAGACATTAATAGTTGTATTTCCTTTTAACTCATAATAAAGAGTTTAAATCCTTTAGTATAATTAAATTAAAAATAATTATAATTACATTTTATATTTCATTAATATTAAATCCGTAAGTTGGCGTATTATTATTTCATGAAAAAAAATTAAATAATAATACACCAATTGGCGGATTTTATATTATTGTAATTTAAAATGTTATTATAATACTTTTTTTAAGATAATTATATTAATAGATTTAAACTATTTATTATGAGATGAAAGAAAATACAACTATTAATGTCTATTCATTTATTATTGTTTATATCTAATAATATAATTTTTATAAGTTATTCATATCATAAGAAAATGAACTCATTCCAATTAATAGAGAATATGTCAAAAATTTTTACCTAAGCATTTGCAGTTTAGTCAATGTGAAACACGTCAAACACCTTTTTAAATAATAATATAATATGATTTTAAAATATACAAATAAAAAGATAATTTGTAATTTTTTTTCTTAAAATAATATTACGCCAACTTGAGGATTTAATATTAATGAAATTTAAAATGTAATTATTCAATTATTCAATTTGTTATTTCTTATACATGTTTTGTAATAAAAAAAACAAATTCAATAAAATTTCTTTATTTTTCTTGGTTTTTATTACTAAAAGTTTTTAAAATATTTGTACTAGATTATTAGAGTGTTTAACAAAAAAATATATAAGGCGATTAATTGTAAAAATCTAAACCATATAAAAACTGAATGAAATGATATTTATCTGTAAACCAAAATAAATTGTAAATTCGTTAAAAATACGTGAAACGGAATTAAGCCGTTTGAAAATTGCAAACTAAGAACCGAAAAAAAAATTACCGTTATACATGGCGGTTCGACACCCTGGTAAAATAGGTCATTTTTCATATTTTTACCTTTGATATTTCCAAAACTAGATGAGACCCTCTGAATTTTTTTTTTATTTTAGAAAATACCTTAAAATTTTAAAAATATTTCCTAAAGAAAATTCTGTTTTTTAGAATTGAGCCCCCCTGAGTTTGTAAAAGTTTATGACACCACTGCACTTATATACAAAATAATAACCTAATTCAAAGATGTCTGGAGAATGGTGATTGCTGACCACTTCAGATCCCTGCTTTTAGATGAGAAAGATGATAGTTCTAATCATAAATGTGGCGGACTCCCTGGTCCTTCTAAGTTATAACCTCTGAAAGTAATGCCCATTAATATTCCCATAAAAAAACTTAAATTATTATTTCAATTATAGATTGACCTTACCTCCAGACCAATCTTCAAAAAAATTTGGTTTTGCAAATCGACCCATTAATGTTTCTTCGATTTTCACTATGAGAAAATAACATTTTCTTCCTTTAAATTTATGATTTTTTTAAACATTAGGCCTGATTTAAAGTTCTACAGGGCCAAACTGACCCAAGGGCTGGGGCAGTGGTAACATTATATACAACCCTAGAAAAGATTATTGTTATTCCCTTCATATTTTATTTTTTGATTGTATATCACAATTATAAAATATTTTTAAAAAATAAGAATAATTATTAACCCTCTATTGTGTACATCATATTTGAATAACATACCATAAAAAAGGTATAAATTTTAATATAAAACACATGATGCATAATAGATACACATATATTTTATTTATTTCTATAGTTAATTTTGTCAAAAATGAAAGACAGCTATCAATATAAATATTATAAAATACATAATTTACAACTTTCGAAAGTTGCATTTCCATTTATAAATCATTTCATTTCTCTTGTACAAAATTTTAAGAAACAGGAAGTTAAGAATCCTATTAAATAAATGTAAAAGAAATGTTTTATATATAAATATATTATTATATTCATTAATAGTGTTTAAAATTTAAATTTTAAGGTACATGTACCCAGATACATAATGCACACAAGTGCAATATGAATTTGAGCAATTTTGATTATTTTTTTTGTATTATTAAATGTTCTTTATTTGTTATCTATAGTCAAAATGTACTGTATTCCAGAAGATAAATCTGATTCTAACCTTAATGGTTCATCAGATGAGGAAATTCTTGATTCAAGATATGTAGATGTTGGTTCTAGCGGAAATGCGGTATTTCCTATTTGTACCACTACATTCCAATTTTAAATTGTGTTTTGATAATTGGTTCTGTGGTATAGAACTTCAAGTATTACTCGCCTAAAAGGGAGTATTGCTACAGCGAGTGCTAATAGAATTTATAATGCCAGTTTCCAACTGAAGAAGAATTCTAAAAGATGGAGCGTGGATCTTTTATCGAGAGGAAGACGACATAAATGGTGTAGAATTATATGCTACTAAATGGCATAATATTAGGTCTGTAATTATTCTAAGTAACTATATAGGTAGTCACCCTGCTGGAGATTGTGAACGGTCTGATAGAAAGGAACGACGGAAAATTAAAATTCCGTGTCCAGCAGCTATAAAAGTTACAATATATATGGAAGGTGTAGATTTAATGGATTCATTGATTACTTTATATTGAACTCACATAAAATCACGTAAATGGCACCTCCGTATAGTATTCCATATACTTGATATGATGCTCATAAATCTTGGTTAATGTATAATAGCAGATACTCTGTACATGTAACAAAATAAAAAAAGCGAATATCAATTAACACCAAATATAAAGAAAAATAAATTGGTTACAAAAGTGATTTGTATCAAATATGGTGTATCATTATGTTTTACTATAAAAAACGATTGTTTTAAATTATTTCATGAAAAATAATATAAATCTGTTTTATTACATTATTTATCAAATAATAAAATTCTATGTTTTTATTTTGAAAAAATATGATACTTTTTAAACATTATGTATTTAAATACACACACTAAATTTTTTAAAAAAAAAATTTTTTTTTTTAGTTTATTGAGGTCACTTTAAAGACAAAATAAGTTTTTTTAAAAAATTATATCATTTATTGCAATAGAGGGTTAAAAGAATCAGTAGCAATAAAAAAATGAAAGAACAAATAAAATGTTACCATCTTTTAATCTATGAGTATAGCTTAGCCCTACTTGACTAGCATTATTGACTTTAGCCTTTATATATTTTTTTATCAAAAATATATTGTACAAAAAATTATGTAAGTAAATCAATTGTTCTATCTAATTCTAATATAAATGTTGCCATACCTTAGTATATAAAAAATATACATTAAAAAAGGGAATACTTAAAATAATAACTTACTAAATTGCTTATTGTTGATTAATATTATAATGTACATGAATAAAATATCCTTATATAATGAAAAGTAAAATTTTTTAGATGGCTAAATAATCTAAAAATACCCTTAGAGTTGAGAACTGGTCAATTTGATATTTGCACGCAAAACCTAATTTGGTGGATTGATTGCCCAGGGTGTAACCTATTTGAACCCCTGATTCAAAACCTGGCTTTATTAATTGATGTAAAGAAACTCCAATATCATTAGACTCATTGCTTATTTAATATTAAAAAATACATATTAAATTATAAGTTATTTATTTACAAAGTCATAAGAATATTAGGTAAATAATATAATAATTTTCTTTTTACCAATTTGTATGTATTGTAAAATCAGAACCCCTATAACCAAAAGCATAATTAGCCTTAGTTAATTTGCTTCTTGTTGCATCATAAACCATATGACAGCCTGCTAACCAACTATCATAACTGAAAAGGTAGCAATAAAATAGAATATTTAGTATAAATAATAGAAGAATGTACATATCAATATTTAATAGAATTTAATTTTATCTGCTTTTGCCAATCAAAAAACCTGCATATTATAAATAAAAAAAATAATATAAATTTGAAAGCATTAAATTAATAATCAAAAAAATATTTTTGAATAAAAATAAATTAAAAAAATATAAACTTACACAAAAACAGCAGATGTACCAATGGTAATAGGTGAACTTCCTACATTTGATAAAAATGGTATAATAAATATTAAACTAATTTATACCAATATAAGGTATTTCAAAATCATTTGCTAGATGAAAATTGTCATGTTTGAAGGCAGTCTTTATAAAAGCATTCTTTTTTCTTCATAAAATGATAAAATAATTTATTCAATACATTTTTAAAAATATACACTTTTTTAATGTAAAATATGTCTTGAAAAGTAAATTTCATTTATAATATTTATAAATTATAATATAAACATTCTTACTCATTTGTAGGTATACAATAAAAATACAAAAAGAAAATCTTAGGTTATTATATTTGACTTAAATAAATATATTATGATGTATAACCAATATAATATTTTTGATCAAATTTTATTTACCTAAATTTAACTTTTATATTGGGTTTAATATTTATCATTAATTGATATTTCATAAGACTTAGAAATTTAATGTACAAAATAGGTTATTAAAATTATTACCCAGTATTTGGAGAAAATAATGTTTCCATCCCTATTTTGACTCCTTTCATTAAATAATCCTCACATGAAATATCTGTAAGAAGTAAATTATCAGTGCTCCATTTTTCCTTTATAGTTGTCCCTAAAAATGCATCTAAAACAAGGTTTGATAATACGTATACCATAATCTTTCCATTTGTACTTGGTTTCCAAAAATCCAGCAACTGTTTTGGTATCAATGTTTGAATTTCCTGAAAAGGTAAATTCAACGTTACTTTTAGTTTTTGATTTCGATTCCAATTTGAATAAATTAAAAACTAAATTAGATTGTGTATTAAAATAAAGTAACTTAATGGTATATTACAAAATCCCTTAGTAAATAAATCTCTTGCATCTTTTCCCAAATCTAGATAAGCAGGGGGTGCCATATGTTCGTTAAAAATTTAGCTATTATAGCCTTTGTAGGAAACGTGTTTTTCGTGTTTTGAGGGAAAAAATAAAAAAAAATATAGGGGTTCGGTTCTTTTGGTGCAAGTGAATACTATAAAGAATAATAATATCAAGATTAAAAATCATATTAATCAAACTAGAATATTAAAATTGAACATTTTATTTTCACCAGAAGTTAAATAATATATAAATTTTTGTTCTTTTAGGAATCGAAATTCAATTGATATGACATTAAATTTCAATATCGATAGTAATCATCGAAGGCTTATACACATAAGAGTTTAAACTTAAAATCAGCCACCTCCCACCCTTAAAGTAATTAAATTATACTGTAGTTCAGGGCATAGGCCTTTGTTTTAGCTAATTCTTCTCTTATGAGCCTATGGACGTTTAAATAACAGTTCTCGGATTGTTGTGCATACAAGTACGTGCGTCTTACCTACATTGTGTAGAGGGTTTCTCATTTATTTATTCACCAAAATTAATTTAGTTCCAGTTAGATGGAAATGAAGAATACCCAGCGTAGCTCTGTTGAATCTTTAACTTCAGAGGGAATAAGAGTTATAAATCACGTATCACGTAAAAAATATCTTTAACAACATGTAATATTCGCAGATAATTGTCAATCTTATTTATATCGCTACATGTCATTTAATTTATTACAGTATTATTTTAAAATTATAATCATTAAGATTATTAAATAAAATATTTTTAGGTTCACAACTAATATGTCATTGTTCACAACATAAAAACGTTAGCGAATATAAACATAGAAATCTTTCGATGTTTATCAAAATTAATATTCATTAAATCTTTAATGGTAAGATGTGTATAAGAACTTGACCTCTCTGATATGAAAAAATACAACTTGGTATATCATTTCAATAAGTATAATTAAGATGTGTTTATTCTTAAGTAATATGAATTATAATATATCATTTTCGGACAAAGGATATCTTAGAAGATCTGTAGGCCTAGTTTCCTAGCTTTAGTCGCTTTTTTAGATCATTATATTTTTAGTCAATCTTTCTTTTAGTTTTAGGTAAAAAAGAGTTTCCATAAACTTATAAATTTTTACATAATATTTTAAATACCTTTTGTCACCTTTTTATATATTTTTATATTATTTTTAGCTATCAATCATAATTGAAAATAATACACAAATTATTTTAAACTATATATTCAGTTAATATTTTTCACAAGGAGTTAACGACCTCAAAAGTCAAAAAAACATATGTGATTCAAAACTTTTAATTTTTTATAACGTGCAAGATAAGATAAGATAAGATATAAGAATCTCATTCAATCTAATACTCAAAAATCTACTATGGCAGAATTTTCTTCGGATATATTTGAAAATTTTTATTATGTTTTTGAAGAAATCGGAAGGTATATTAAATTGTATAATATACTCTACTTATTTTTAATATTTTAATTTTTATTAATTTATTTTTTATAAATCTCAATTAGAGCCCTGCAAATTTGCTTAAGGCCTGGCTTGAGTTTGGCTTCTCAGGCTTGTAAATTTATAAAAATTATCAAATTAAAATGATAATAGGAATTTATGTGATAAGGACAAAGCTATTATTTATTTTACTTTATTTGACTTCATGTGAATGTGCTAAATTTATATTTTTTAATTAAAATTTTGTGCCAAGTTTGGATCTAAAACAGAAATTCATATGGGCTTGAGGCTTAAATTTTAAAAATATTTTGGGGCTGTGTGCTTGCTTAAAATTTTATAAATTTTAATCTATATCTGACTTAAACCAAAAAAAAGATTCAATTTGCTGGCTTCTAATTTCAATAGATAATGTTTAATTTAATCTCTGCATTTTAATTTATATTCTGGTAACCAGGTTGGTGTCTAAAGGTGGGGACATTTTTATTCAAATTTGTATATATTAGGTAAAAATCTTACTCTTAAGATAAATATAATTTGTTCAATATATTTATTTTAAGATAAATCTATAAATTTATATAATTAATAAATGATTAGTTTACCTTTTAATTGCATAAGGTGAGTTTTTTGGAAATAAATTTCCCAAAGTCTTTAGTAGAGTACAGGGGCATAAATTTATTAGAATGAACCAACCCCCCCCCCCCTTCCAATACCATCTTACATACATTTTATTTTGTATGATATAAAAAAATTTCTACATTATTTTTATATAATAACTAAATGATGCCTAAACATATTAATAAATATGTTTTGTTTATCTCCTAAGAGAGACAGATCAAGTTTAATATTACAAAGAACAATTTATGATTTTTAAAATACTCTGTTTTTTTATTGGGACTATAAAATGTTTTTTTGACAAACTTAAATGGTTATTGCAAAATAAAAATGAACTATAAATTAGTGATCAGCATCGGGCCTAATTTTTCAAGCCCATCCCGGCTCAAAATTTTTTTAAAAAGTTTTGCCGGCCCGACCCAAACCCTAAATTTATTTTGAAAAAATTTATCGGCCCAGCCAGGCCCAAATTTATTTAAATATAGAAATCAATTTTTATAATTACTTAAAATAAAAACATATGTTATATAGCGTTTAGTTTCAATAAATTAAATCAAAAATTTGTATTTTACATAAAAAATTCAATATAAAATTGATAAATTTAGATATATTTAATAAAATTTCCAAAGTCCGACCCAACCCGGCCTGAAATTTTTTTAAAAATATTAGGCCCGGCCCAAACCCGATTATTTTAAATAGAATTAGGGGCCTGGCCTAACTTTGCAGATCTCTACTATAAATTAACAGAAACTAAAAAACTCCTATGGAAAAAGAACATAAATAAAATATACAAAAAAATTATATTAATTAAATAGTAAAGCAAACCTAAATATTAATAAAAGTTGGTCCGGAACATAAAAAATAAAAAACAAAAAGATCAGTCCAGTCCTGGCCTAGGATCAATAGGACTTAACCGTTGACATCCACTACTGTCCACTATGGTATCAACTAGGGCTGTGCCCATCACATATTTTTCACCGATCCGATATGGTCTCAAAACCGATCTGATACCGATCCTATATTTATATTGATTTTTCACCACCCCCCATTATTGGATTATGCATTTAATTTTTTTTATTTCTACGATTAAAACTAATTTAAAAAAATATATATTTAATAATATATCCATTTTATGTTAGTATGACTATGAATTATAAAATTGTAATATTTAATATATAAAATTATAATACATTAGATTTTTTTAATAAATATGAGAGCCTTTAGATTTTCTGGCAATAAGCTTCTACGATGACTATCTATATCCCCTACCGTACTGAAGGCATAATCAGATGATTCCGCAGATAACGCATTTTGCAAAATAATCTTTGTCTTTTGTAAAATATTTCCATAATTGAGATACCATATTTAAAAAAATTATTTTATTTTTAAAGTATAAATAATAAATCCTATTTATATTTTCCATCTTTGACTTCCCAAGGCTCATTGGCGTTATTATTTAAAAAGATTTAAAATAAATAAAACTTTGGGTGTTCCTTTCTATTTTTATAAAAAAACTTTTAAAATAATATAAATCTATTTTAAAAAAGAAATAAAATTTAGAGGGTGTTGTGCATTGCATTGTTTTAAAAAAAATTATTTAGAAAATATTTTAAAATGTAAAATAAATATACATTACATAAAATAACAAAAAAAAAAGTAAAAAGATCGGTTTTTACAGGTATTGGCCCGATCCGAGGTTTTTGGAAAACGCTAAATATCGGTGTCAACGATCTGATATTTAATATCGGCACAACCCTAGTATCAACTTATTACCTTAACTATATCAAGGCCCATATTTTAAAAATAATGAATTCGCTAGAGCTTGTTATAATAAAAGAGCAATGATCCATGCAGGATAATGATATTCAAGTCATTTTAGCTGATAAAAAAAATTTTCGATGTAAAGGTAGTATCTTTGCAAAGAAAAATACGTGAAATGAAGTATCTATCGATTTAAAAAAATGTTGCCAACTGATGGAAGGGACTGTGTCTATCTTACCCTTTAGGAGAAATGGGAAATGTCAGTTCCCTTTCAAGTTTAACTTCTTCAGAAGAAATTTTTTTTTCTATTTTGGGTATTATTTATACAAAGTGCCGAAATCTATTTAAAACTTTGATTGTGGGGAAATTAATTGTAACTAAAAATTAATATAAAATATAAGAAAAATGGTGAATTAACTTGGTTAAATTGAAGATAACTCTACAGCGAACCAAAGATTATTTATAGAATGAATCAATTAAAATATGGAAGCCCGATTAGGGTCAATTTAAAAAACGGCCCGATTAAGATTATATTATTTAAGCCTCAGGTTTTCGCAAATAGAGGTCCAAGCTTATCTGCCATCTACGAGCGAAATCTCCAGGCTTACATAATATTCTTTTTGGTTAAAATCTTTGGGTCGATTTTTATCGATTTTTAAAAATCGACCCATTAACAACACTAGATAAAGCTTTAGATTCGAATTTTATAGGTTAAAACTAAAACTCAGCCGATCCACAAGTTTAATATTGGCACAGCCCTAATTAAAAGTATGGCTACACATTGATATTATTTGTCTTATTAAACCTAATTTTAACCCTCTTTTTTGAAAAAAGCAAAATCATGGCCACTGGCTAACTATTTCCCTATTTTAAAGAAAAAAACCTTGGTTTTGAGCAAATATAATTAATTATAAACTCACTTTTTACCCTTAATTTAAAGTTTTGAGAGCCAACGACGCTGGCATCATTTTTTTTAAAGTTTTCTAAAGTAAAACTAAAATGTGTGAAAGAGATCAACATTGACAGATTAGTGGTATCTTTAATTTATATATATAATATTTTATTCTTTTCCTTTATTATACTTCCATAGTTGAGTAATTTATGTTTATATAAAAAACATGTGTTAAATTACTTAAAAGATTTTAATTTGATTTTTTTTGTCTTCAAAATCGATATCTAATTAAATTCGATTGTTTAAAATTCATAAATTTTCAAATTTAATTAATGAAAATGAGTGTAATTATATTTATATGGCTCGATGCGATTTGGATCTGGGGCTAAAAGACATCCGGACAAAATATATCCTTATTTTGACAAAATAATTATAATTATTAGATAATGGAATTCTCGGGTATTCGTTAACCTACTTGAAAATAAATAAACAATTAATTTGTCCTATGTATTTTTTATCGGGGAATAATATAGTTTAGTGTCATTTTGTCAAGAACAAATCGACATTCAAAAAAAAAAACTCATCGTTGCGTTTGAGCCAAATATTATAATGTTTTATATTCAATTTAACCTTAATATATTTGCATTATCAAAGCAAGAGAGTGAGACAAAAAGAATAAGTAAAGCAAAATAATTATTTTGTTTTAAATTTAAAGCATATAACTATTCCTTTTAAATTGTGGCCTTTTAAAATAACTCAGATAGCTTATAGTTATGGATGTATGTATATGATAAATGATTTAAAAATATAATTATAGGTATCTTTTCATTTATTTTTGCCTAAAGCCTGAAATGTTTCTTTTTTAAAAAGAAGAAGATATTGAATACGAACTCTTGGAGAATATGACAGCATTTTATTATCGCTAGAACTTATAATGGATTTTTTTATTAAAATATAAATTTTACGTGATACGTGATAAAAACGTTTTCGCCCTCTAGTTGTTGATACAACAAAGCTACTTTAGGTTTTCCTCATAATCCATCTAACTTGACATATTAAAAATGGGGATAAAGATGAGGAGCCCTTCACACGTTTGTGGGCAAGCCGCACGTACTTCTACGCATAATAGTCCTAGGAGTCTTTTTAACGTCTGCGGGGAATGGTCAAAAATAAGCACAGCCCACACTCATAAAATGCTTATATACTTAATTACTTGAAAGGCAAAGGGGGACCTTTTTAATCACATGGGCATAATTGTATATGTGAAATGTTCAAAATATAAAATTTTGATTATAATAACAAAAATATCTTAATTTGAATTAAAAAAATAAATGTATGCCTATTAAATTTTTATAAAATTAATTAAAAAACAAGGCTAAATGACCAAACGTTTGGTAGCCGTAATGAACAAATAAGACACTGGAAAAAATAACCCAATTTTAGAAAAAATTTAAATGCTTTAAAAAAGTTATTAATGTTATTAAGCGTAAGTGTCTGAGTTGCATAACTAAAATTAGTAACCAATTTTTGTAAATAAAATTCCGGAATTATATGTTATTATTCGATGATATTTTTAAATGAACACATATGAGGTGAATATCGTTAAAATGTTTGGATAACGAATAAATTACTTCATTCGTAACCAATTTAATCGAGCTAGGACGAGATATAAGCATTTAAATTTTTTTAAAAATTGGGGTATTTTTGTCCAATGTCTTTTTCTTCGTGTGTATATTTGTCCTATCCTAAGTACTTTTGTCCAGGTCTCTTTTTCAAGGACATTTATGTCAGTTATGCCCTTTTTTTAGTGTTTTTATCTCTTTTTTGCATAACAATATAATGTTCTGAATATTGAACGTTTTTATATATTAAAAACACTTTATTTCAATATATGAAACTAGTGTTGTTAAATTGATCGTTTTGAGCCACTTTTTAAAAGCAGCTAACTCAATATTTTATATAGAAAAATATTATTCAAATTGAATATTTTGCTCAAAGATGGCACAAAGATTTGGACATCTATTAGCGAAATCTCGAGGCTTGGGAAATATTTTTTCGGCTCAAGAACAGTTTAACAACACTGTATGAAACATAGACAAACCAACTAGCAATTTTAGGGGAGACAGGGGTAAAGCGATTGACGGGGTAACAATGTTAACGCGAATAACTTTTTAAACCTTGAGCACAATGATTTTAAATTTGGTGTGAAAATGTATTTTTATATCTAATTTCTTACCTATGTTCATCTTTTAAAAAACTTACCTGGTTTTATATATTTTGTCAAAAAATTGTTTTTACCCAAAAAATATAAAAATCATTCTCTAGTATATTTTGCTTTTAGTAAAATATACATATCCTCAGGATTCAAAATTTGGCACACATGTTCATTAATGTATTAGCTATAAAATAAAATTTATCTGACATCTATAGCTATATTAGAAGTCACGCAATAACGATATTTATAATATATGTCACCTTGGGGTAAAGCTGTTATGGGTAAAACGGTTAAAATATATAATTATTCACATTAAATTTTTCTTTCATTCATTTATTATAATTTTTATTGTATCAATCAAATAATGAGAAATTATAAATGAAAAACAACATTCAGAGATGTAAGTATAATAGATGAAGCCATAAAATATAAAATAACAATAACACTTTATTGAATTTGTCTGCTAAAATATAAAATACCTGATACAACATTGAGAAGAAGATATAAAAATGGTATTTAAAGTTCAGATCATAAACAAATAATTACAAATTAAGAAGAATCTAGATTGGTCATTTATGGGATTAACGCCTAGACATAATTAAATTATATTGTTTGTATTTGAATTGAGTATTAATTAATAAATATATTATATATTTCAATTGAGCATTACTAATAAAGCTACCAAATTAATATTGAAATTTGAAATTATTTATTCAGAGAAAAAAAAAGATATCAAAAAAGTTGTTTATGTGTCATTTGCAATAAAAACTACAAAAATAGATGAATGGTTAAAATGTACAATGTGCCTTGAATGGGCGCATTCTAAATGTGCTAATTATGATAACTACTTTACATGTCCTTATTGTATTGATTAGTTTGTAAATAAAAATCATAAATATATCTTAAATTTGTAATATTTGTTAAATAAAACGATAAATATATGTCAAATATTATTTTAACCACTTTACCCCAATGCTTATCCATTTTACCCTGGGTACAGGGTAAATGGCGAAAATGAGTAGTTTGACATAACTAATCATAACTCCTAAAATATTATAGGTAGAGGGCTACTCTTTTTTTTATCTAGTAGATAAGGGATGGGGCTATACATTGAACTATAATTTGTTGTGTTTGACTTTTGTTTAAATTTTTTTTGATAAATATGCAAAATGCCTATCGTTTTACCCCGGTCTCCCCTACTAACTTTGATATTTGATTCTGAATTTTCTCTACCTACGCTTAATGATTCTCTTTTTAACCAAAAGGTATAGCCAGAATTTTTTTAGGGGGGAGGGCATTATATTGCACGACTTAAGCAGTGTTACATTTTTTTAAAATTAAAATGTTTTTTTCTGAAAATTTTGAATTATAGTCATTTATTTTGATATTAACATTTACTCATTTTTCTTTTAAATTATACTTGTTTATTGTGACATATTGTATACATTTTGGGGGTAGGGGGGGGAGGTGAGGGGCTTAGGGAATTTGTTTACTACTACCTTAAAATGATATTTGCGAAAACTGACAAATTTTTGAAGGAGAAAACCTATAGCTCTATTTAAATCCAGACAATATATTGATATTGTATTTTTCACATGTCTTATATTTAAATCCAATTGAAAATGTATTTGCACAATTGGGATTTTTTATCAAAATCCAAATCTATAGGCGCTTGCAGGATTTTTGCTAGGGAGAATCCATTTTGTTCCTAATATTCAAATATCATAACAATTTTTTTAAAAATTCTAAAATAATTTATAAAATTGTAATTATTTTATTAAAATATATCAGAGACCTGCAGGCCCCGCCCTAACTCCGGCCTGACCCGGCTCCCAAAATCCAAATGATGAATAGAACTTGGCGGATCTCACAGAAGGTGAAGATAGGGGCATGACAGTTCTGTTTGGAAATGACCTTATGAAAATTACGATTTTTAAAATATATAGTGAAACCAAATGTGGCAGTCGCGATCTAAATAATAAAAAATAAAATAGCAATTCGTTCAACACTGCATTTGGTTGTACTAACATTAACCGTAAAATTTAGTTTTCATTATTATTTCATTCATTTTTGATCAATCTATTCCCCTTTTTTGTCATAGATGTAACCAATTTCGTAACCAATTTTTATTTCTTTCCTGTCATCTTTCTTTAATTCTTAATCTTTTCTAATTATTCTTTCCCCCTTTTTTTAACCTTGCTTTTTTTGTGATTTTTTTTCTCTTTAATTTACTTTTATTTCTATGACCTATTTTTAATAGCTTTTCTCTAATTTATTTTAGCCTTTTATCTTAATGTTCTTATTTATGTCCTATAATCGTATTTTCTTATATCATTTTTTATTTTTTTGTCATTTCTAATTCAAACATTTTTTTCCTTCTTTTATTATCTTTGTATAATTTCTTTATAATCTTCCTTTTTTTAAAACATTTTTTTCTTCTTAGTTTCATATTTTATAACTAGTATTTTTTTTAGACCTTTCACTTTTTTTAAAACTTTTTAAATTTTTTTTTAAAAAATGTTTTATTTTCACGTTCATAATATTTATTTTATTTATGATACATTGATGAATTAACAATACTCAATCAAGATCATCAAATTCGAAACTACTATAATTAAAGGTCAACTTTTTATTATTATTATCCTTTGTATATAAAAACCTTTCATTACAATTATGATAAATGAATATAAGAAAAAAATAAGAATCTATAACATTTAGGCCTCTTTTATATTTAGGAATAAATGATTCCATTAAAATTTTTGACCGTAAATTTTTTTAATTTCCAAAAATATGTTGAAAAATGGCCCGATTAAGATTTTAGCCAAAATAAAAGAATTAATATATACTTTTAAATGATACAATTTTTATTATACTTATGTAAGGAGTGCATAATCCATAATTTAGGAATATTGTTAAAATTCAAATTTAAATTGAGCTAAAAAAATTAATTGAGCTGTTTCACATCTATATGCAAAATATATAATAAAATAATGATTAAATAATTGTTTAATAATAAAACATTCTAAAATATTTTATCATAAGCCACTCCCGTTTATCTGTAAATACCTTGAAGGCAGAGTGCTTGTTATTTATCCCGATATTCATTTTAAATAAAAAAAAATTATTCAAAATAAATAAAATATAATATTAAATTATTTGATTTCTTTTCAGAGATTATCTAGAAATATTGATATTAAAATTATGATATATATTTATTTGAACATTATAAATAAAACAAATTATATTTATAAAATTTATCAGGTTCCCATCCATTGCTTGAAATAAAATTTGGCCATCCATTGCGTAAAATAAAATATTTCTGGTTTATTTTTTTAATGAAATGAACTCGGACATATTTATTAAATGAATTTAATTAAAATATTATTATTTTTAATACAAAAAACACGTAAAATAAAATTTAAAAACGTTAAAATTAGATACAAATACCTATAAAATAAGATCTAGATACAGATACCACATTTTTGTATTTACCAACTCTGTAAAATAATATTATGTAAGCTCGAGATTTGGCAATGGAGATCTAAACCTTTCTAACATCTATGAGCAAAATTTTCAGGCGTATATTATTTTGGATAAAATCTTAATCGGAAATAAAAAATTACTGGAAGCATGCCTCAAAACCCGCCTTGGCAGATGATGATATCAGAGACCTGCAGCGGTACCATTTGCACGAACCGGCCCGGATTTGTTTTTGAAAAAAATTTTCGTCCCGGCTCGGGTTTTATATTTTCAGACCCTGCTCGCTCCTAATTTTTAAAAATATATTACATATATTCTTAATTTTTATAGCTATTAATGGCGATTTAAAATATTGGGTTTTGAAATATACGGCCCAGCCCGGGTATTTTTTTAAAAAAATAGCCGCATGATTTCACCATTTTAAATAAAATGAATTTTATTGCATTTTAGAAATAATTGATTATTGTTTAGCAAATTAGGTATTTTTTTTAGAAAATTGCTATAGGTTGACTTAGCAGTATTTAACATTAATCAAATTTTAAAAGGTGACATATTAAAATTATACAAAAAATGTTAAATAAAAAGAAAGATTAGGAAAAACAAGAAAACGATATTGCAGGTCATTAATTACAAAAAAAATAAATAAGATAAATTAAATATTTAAAAAATATCATAAATAACGATTTCCATATTTTGAATAGCAAATTTCCCTATTCTATTGAACGACTAACTCAATATTTTATCCAGAAAAATATTACGCAAGCATGTAGATTTTACTTATGGATGACAGACAGTTTTGGACATTTATTAACCAAATATCGAGGCTTAGGCAATATTTTTTCTTATCGGACCATGTAATAAAAGGCATGCAGTGGACGCTAAATGGCTAAATCCACTTATAAAAAAATATATAATTAATTTAGCTGATGCTGCAATTTCTACTTGGCATATTAGGCCAATCAAACATGATTTTTACTTCCTGCCTTTTATTAATTTATGAAAATATAAGTCTAAATTAATTCAAATAAAATATTTAATTAACAGAAATGTAATCATAAAATGGAGTTTCCCCTATTTCTACGAGTATTTACAATAAATTTCACGTGATTAGGGTTTCCTCATTTTATTGGCCGTTTTTTCTTTAGACCGACCTTTTCATTAGCTTTCATACTTTTCTCTCCTTTCTTAATCGGACTTTCCCATTTTTATGGGAAAGCCCCCTATTAATGTCTTTTTTGCGTCTTTGCGTGATTATTTGAGTTCTTTTATTGCTTTTTTTGAAAGTTAAATATGAGAAAATGGATCCTTAACTTTTAAGTTTCGAAAGATATAAGGTATTAATTTAGATAAAGCAAATTTACAATCGCTATAAATAAACATGTTAAATATAATTAATATTTGTATTTAAAATTTGATTTACACATAAACCCAAATTATCAATCAATTTTTAAAGATAATTAGATTTTAATAATGTTGAGTAGAAAGTAGTGCTCATCGGGCCTAATTTTTCAAGCCAGGACCGACCCGATTTTTTTAAAAAAAGATTGGCAAGCCCGATCCCAAATTTTTTTATTCTTACCAAAAAGCCCGACCCCAAATAAGAATTATTTGTCCGCCTAGCCCTGCCCGAAAAAAAATATTCTACAAATAAAAAATATTATCGCCTTGTTTCTTGCAAGAATTTTAAAATATATTTATTTATTTGATAAAATGTTATATCATATTTAAAATTTAAGCCCGACCTAGCCCGAAATTTTTTAAAAAATATTAGGCCCGAACCGAAATTTTTTTTTTAAATAATGGGCCGGGCCTTGATTTGCAAATCTCTAGTAGGAAGGGCTCCAATCTAAGCAATCAACCTTATAATAATTAATAAGGCAATAAAAAAATCCAATAAATATTTTTCGTGGTTGGTAAAAACACTATTTTTTCTATATTGTGTCTAGACCTCTCATTATTTTCAAATTAAGATTTGAAAGGATAATAAAAATGATAACCATTAAAAATAATTTAGAATGGAAATCGATATCTTTAAAAAATATCCTATTTTAACAATGCAAATTTTTAAAGTAACACCTTAATGTTTAAACTGCAATGAAAAAATAATATTTTAGCTATTACGGATTTGTTTATTCATATGGGAGGCATTTGATAAAATTTTATTTATACAGATTGATTTTTATAAAATTTTATTTTATGATTTTTTAATAAAAGTAAAAATTTAAATTTTTAAAAATTTCATTTTTAAAATAAGTTTATAAACTTTTAATATAAATAATTTTATTTTATGATATTTTAATAAAAGTAAAAATTTCAATTTAAAAAATTTTTTTTTTAAAATATATTTATGATTGGTTATTATACAAATTATTTTTCTCGGATTATATTGAAAATAAAATTTTCATATTTAACTATATTATGAAATATAACACGTTCAGGTAAAATTTTTGTATTTTATAACTATGGATGATACAATCCAGTGACCCGTCTCAAGTTCTTATCAGTGTACTATCTTGTTTAAAATCTCATAATTATTTATATATTATAATACATATTTAGGTATAACAGTATAACACTTATACGACATTCCCCTTTATAACCTTCTCACTCTTCCAAACTACTTAAAAATTGCGGATTTTTAAATCATAGTTTTCAATATATTACCCAGCTTCCTCAGACTTATATGATTTCCTGAGAATGTTATCAATAAAGTTAGGGTAACCTGCTAATTGGGCTCAATCTACGCCTAAAATATTAGAGGCGCATTAAGCTTCGAGCTAATATCTTCTCCCGCTTCGCAAGGTTGGTCCATCTTTTCAAATAAAATCTCGAGTTGGATATTATAATTTTCGGCTAAAATCTCGGTTTAACTTTTTTCGGACGGCTATAAAATGAAACCATTACACAACTATAGTTATTTTAGTTATACCATATATGTAGGTACTTTATTTGATTATTCGTTTTATATCCAAACTTTTTGCAACAAACATGATATCCAATTTTAAAATTGAAGCAAATTTAAAACTCATGGCGTATTTTCTAATACCGCTTAGTATTCCTCAAATGAAATCGAATAATACATTGTTCATAATTCGATGAATTCGAAATAATAATATTCGATTACGAGGTTTTTTAGATTTTCCTAATAAAAAAATAAACAATTTAACACATAATTAAATAATGTATTTTTTAAAAAATATATAAATCAAATTATTATGACATTTTTAAAACCTTGATCGCACATGCCGCTTATAATATTTATATTTCGTTGACCTTTTATCTATCATCAAGGAATTGTCAAAAATTATACTATGTAATTATCCGGTTCTATTTTAATGTTAGCTTTTTATTTTAAACAATCGTGTCACTAATTTATTTATTTTTAAAGACGTTTTTTTAACCATTGATTATAAAATTAATTATTATTTGATTTGTTGTTAGTTTATATATTTATAAAGGAATTGAAATTGTCTATTTAAAAAAAAGGATATCTGACCTTTGATTGATAAGAATATAATAATTACCAATTTTTTTCTTTTTCAAAATCCTGGGTAA